TAGCTGTGTACATTAATGCAATCATGGGGTATGATGTGCTGGTTTTATATACCATTTGAAATATTTTCGTCAAACTGGTTAACATAGCCTTCACTGTATTTTCTTAGTTATTGTGTTAAGACATTTATACTCTACACTTAGTAAATTTAACATATACCCTTGTAAAATGTACCATAGGTGTGTCCCCACTGATTACCCTCTGTCCACCCATCCTCCCTCTCCCCCTCTTTTCCCTCTCCTCCCTCCCCCTCTTCTTGGGCTACAGTTGGGTTGTAGCTTTCATATGAAAGCTATAAATTGGTTTCATAGTAGGACCGATTACATTGGATACTTTTTCTTCCATTCTTGAGATACTTTACTAAGAAGAATATGTTCCAGCTCTGTCCATGTAAACATGAAAGAGGTAATGTCTCCATCTTTTTAAAGGCTGCATAATATTACATGGTGTACATATACCACAATTTATTAACCCATTCATGGGTCGATGGGCACTTGGGCATCTTCCATGACTTAGCAATTATGAATTGGGCGGCAGTAAACATTCTGGTGGATATATACCTAGTAGAGGAATTGAAGGATAGAATGGCAGGTCTATTTTAGATCCCTAAGTGATCTCCAAACATCTTTCCAAAAGGAACATACTAGTTTGCATTCCCACCAGCAGTGTAGAAGTGTTCCCTTTTCTCCACATCCATGCCAACATCTCTGGTTTTGGGATTTTGTGATGTGGGCTAATCTTACTGGAGTTAGATGATATCTCAAAGTGGTTTTGATTTGCATTTCTCTGATGGTTAAAATGTCCGTATTACCCAAAGCAATGTACAGTTTTAATGCAAGCCCTATTAAAGCTCCACTGACATACTTTAAGGATCTCGAAAAAATAATACTTCGTTTTATATGGAGTCAGAAAAAACCTCGAATAGCCAAAACATTGCTCAGAAATAAAAACAAATCAGGAGGAATCACGCTACTGGACCTTGGATTATATTACAAATTGATAGTAATCAAAACTGCATGGTACTGGCACAAAAACAGAGAGGTAGATGTATGGAACAGAATAGAGAACCAAGAGATGAACTCAGCTACTTAATGTTATTTGATCTTTGACAAGCCAATTACAAACATTCAGTGGAGAAAAGATTCCCTGTTTAACAAATGGTGCTGGGTGAACTGGCTGGCAACCTGCAGAAGACTGAAACTGGACCCACACCTTTCATCATTAACTAAGAGAGACTCTTACTGGATTAAAGATTTAAACTTAAGACATGAAACTATAAAAATACTAGAAGAAAGTGCAGGGAAAACACTTGAAGAAATCAGCCTGGGCGGAATATTTTATGAGGAAGACCCCCCACCCCCCACCCCCGGCAATTGAAGCAACACCAAAAATACATTACTGGGATCTGATTAAACTAAAAAGCTTCTGCACAGCCAAAAATACAGTAAGTAAAGCAAGCAGACAGCCCTCAGAATGGGAGAAGATATTTGCAGGTTATGTCTCTGACAAAGGTTTAGTAACCAGAATCCACAGAGAACTCAAACGTATTACCAAGAAAGGAACAAGTGATCCCATCTCAGGGTGAACAAAGGACTTGAGAAACTTCTCTGAAGAAGACAGGCACATGGCCTACAGACACATGATTTTACTTTTCTATTTCTAGTTAGTTTGACCAAAGGTATATCTTTATTTTTTCAAAAAACCAACTCCTTGTTTCATTAATTTTCTGAATGATTCTTTTGTTTTCTATTTCGTTGATCTCTGATTTAATTTTGGATATTTCTTTTCTTCTGCTGGATTTAGGCTTAGATTGTTCTTC